GCGTTAAATATCGCATGCGATTAATCGTGCAGCCCTAATAGAGAGTGAAATCTGTTATATTGGATGGCTTGCATTTAGCTCTAAAGTGAGTGAAATCTTTATAGCCTGTTGAGTTGTAGCCTGTTTTACATTAAAGCGAGTAATATACGTATAGGCAGCTCGTCAGGCAGCTCGTATTTTTCATTAAAGCATCTGAATGACCATGGTGTGAGTAAATCATCATTGAGCTGTTTGATCTGAATCTGAATCTAAGCTGAATCACAGCTTTATTCACATTAGAGATCTGAATTGAAGCCTGCTGGTGAACAGCATTTTTAACACATTTTATTGAAAACATTTAAGAAATAAAACATGATTCCAACAACATAAATCTAATCAAGAGTAAAGCTGAACTGAACATAGCTAACTGAAAAAAACAAAAAAATGAATACATAAAATTATACACTTTTAAATAATAGGTTTGTGAGTTTGTCATGGAAAGAGAGACAGTGATGGGGCAAGCGAACTGATGCTGCTTCAACAACAACAACAATAAAACCAAAAATGTTTGGCACCCACTTTATATTAAGCATCCTTAACTATGTACTTTTATTTAAATTAATAATTTAATACAATGCACTTATTGTTTCCATTTTTCACAATAAGTTTTCAGCATCATTACTCCAGTCTTCAGTGTCACATGATCCTTCAGAAATCATTCTAATATGCTGATTTGCTGCTCAACAAACATTATTGTTATCAATGTTGAAAACAGCATTTTATTTATTTATTTTAAACCATTCTTTTCACCCCAGGATTTTTGATGAATACATATTTCTTTAGTATAGTATTTATTTGAATTTTTTTTGTAACAAAAATGTGTCACATCAATTTAATGTTTGTTGAATACAAGTATTCACTCATTTACTCCCAAAAAAATAAATAATAATAAAAAATAATAAAACAAAGGTTTGTAATGTACTGTATGTATTATATTTATATACATGCCTTACTGAGTGGATTAATGTAATGTTTCTTAATGACGCATTCATGTGGCAGAGTGCAGGTCATGCTCAGAGCATGTTGGCGGGTGATTAGTGTTGGCTGATGGTCATCCAGCTGTTGGATGTCACGCTGGACGAGTTATGGTCACACAGGAGTACCAGGCACAGAGCGGCCCATCTGTGGCCCATCACAGCACTGGCCCTCAAGAGAACAATAGCAACAGATCTGGGCCTATTCAAGCCTTTGTGCTCTTAAATGCAAGGGAGGAGATGGACAAATCAATGACTCCTTCAGCTCCTCCTGCCTAACATACTGTGAGCGTGTGTGTGTGTGTGTGTGTGGAGGATATGTGGAATTGTGCATAATGTGTACAAATGTATGTATTTATGCACGTATATATATGCATATAAAATACATATGTATATAAAACCAAATATAATGTTTATTAAAACCAAACTTGAAATTAATATTCAGCTATTAAAATAATTTTTGGCTCATCTGTGGACAAACGTGCACTACAGTTTGGGATCTGCTGGTCTATGGTATATAATAATCCAGATATTCCAAAGACTAACAGCAGCATGTAAAGTCCTGGCTATGGTTGCCATGGCTACCTGGTCATTCCACCTGAAGTCTGGGGTGATGCTGAGGCGAACGCGCAGGACAGTGCGTGTGATTGGCTGAATGCTGGACTCCATCAGGATGGCGGGTATCTGATGAACACACTGCTTCACCTTCAGGCCGATGTTCACGTGATGCAACATGTGACCTATACACACACACACACACACACACACACACACACACACACAATGAATATTTATCCTTAAACGCCTGATGAAGTCTAAAACTGACAAATCCACATCATTTTCTTGTGTCAGACTGACCGATCTCATCTTTGCCCATGTCTTTGAGTTTGTCCACCGTGAGATTCCTCTCCTCCATTCTGGACAGCACTGAAGGGGGCAGAGCGCTGAACTGCCGCAGCGGGTGGGCCCAGCCCCACAGACGCTTGTCAATCACTTTACACAGGTTCAGCAGGCGGTAGGTCATGGCCGGCCAGCGCTTCCTCAGAGCGATCTCAAACAGAGCCCGCACGATACGAGCAGCATTCTGCACAAAAACGACAAAGAGACTCTCAATCACACAATCAAGTCAATCAAGCGGATCACCAGCCGATATGACAGCAGTCTAGGACTGCACAGAAGCCACGTACACACTGCAGATAAATATGGCTGCCATTAATCATGTACTTGAACCAAACAGTTGTTATTATACTGTTATAAACTGAACAGTTTTTTAATAACCAGTCGGTTTTAAATAGTTGACACTGTCATTATACATACAGTAGCTGAAATACAGTAACTGAAAACATATCAGAGATGGAGAAAATACATGTGTCTCTCTTCCCCAGGTGTGATGCAAGAATAACATACAAGTTGAAATGACGATATACTAATTATGAAATAAGTCAAAATCATGACATCAAAGTCAATTTCAAGATTTTATGTCACAATTTTAATCTCATAACAATGACTTAGTATATGACTTATGTATGTAGACATAAATTGTCTGTCAACTTTGACTTTTTCTCATAATTACGATTTCTCAAAATTGTGGCTTATGTCGTAATTATAACTTTTTATCTCATCATTTTGACTTATGCCATCATTTTGACTTATTGCATAATAATGGCTTTGCATCTTACTTATATGATTTATGTATCTCGCCTTATGTATTGTAAATTGTTTTTCCAATTTTGACTTTGTCATAATGAGTTCTCATAAATTTCAAGTTTTAGTATTATCATTTTGAATTTTATCTCATAATAACTACTTAGTAATTTAGTATGACTTACGTATCACAACTTTTTATGTAGCTATTTTGGCTTTTTAATCTCATAACTTTGATGGAGCATTTCATAATTTTGACTTTCAACCTTTATATGTCATAATTAGTGCTGGGCGGTATGACCAAAAATGTATATCACGGTATTTTTCAAAATTATGCCGGTTTCACAGTACAAGACGGTATTTTTTTTTCATGCATGACCGGGTGTTAACCATATTTTCTACTGATTGAGAGGAAATACTGCAGTATATTGACTTAGAATGCCCTATTTTACTGTCATGATGAGTGAATATTGTCAAAAAATACCACATTAAATAGTGACTAAACACAACCCCTTTTAATACATGTTAACCAGGAGTCACTCTCATTTATAATCGCGGCATCTGATAAAATCAACATGCATCTACTCATTTATTGACGAGTCGGCTGCTGTGCGGCCAACTGAATGTGCTGCTTCTCTGCCGCTCACTGCATAGAACACACACGAGAGAGGTGACACTTCTCCGGGAAAGTCAGACCTCGCGTTCGCGGGACAGTACTGGCGAAATCTTCCAACTGAACCATAGCTAAGGTTTATCCAAAAAAGTCGCTAGGTTTGTCAGTATGAATATTCTATGGAAAAAAGCCGCTAAAAGGGTCTGAAAGTTGCTAAATCTAGTGCTAAAGTCGCGCTCGTGTGTGTGAGACGCGGGAGCTGATGGCAGGGGGCGGTGGATATTTGTGGCGGTCAATGTGGATATTGTGGATGAGTTCTTCTGTGTCATCACGTTCTATTAGTTCTACAGCTTCAGTTTCGGAACTTTCACGCTTAGTAACACATACAGCTGTTCCCTCACCACAGTGCAACACCCCTTTCAAACAGTGTCGCGTTCCGAACGTTGTTTAAGTGACATATACCGGTATTGCGGTATTTTTAAAATTCATATCATAACAAAAACAAAAACCGGTATTCGGTATGAACCGGTATACCGCCCAGCACTAGTCATAATTATTACTTTTTATATCAACTACTACTTTATGGCCCGGTTTCACAGACGGGGCTTAGAGTAAGCCAGGATTAGATCAAAGTTCAATTAGGACATTTAAGCAATTTTTATGAAAGTGCTTAGAAAAAAAACATTACTGGTGTGCACCTTGAGACAAAACAAAGGCACTGATATATTTTAAGATCAGTCAATGCAAGTTTCTTTCAGTTGAAACAGCTCAGACTTGCATTTTAGTCTAGGACTAGGCTTAAGCCTTGTCTGTGAAACCGGGGGTATATGTCATAAAGCCTTAACATGTCATGATTGAATCTTAACGTTTTATGACTTGCTTTCTCATAATCTCATAACTTCTAATGTCATAATTAGGATTTACCAAAACATTTTTTCCCTTAATGTGGCAGAAATGTGCTTCCATGCCAACCAGATATGTTCTAGCGATAATCCAGAGAGGTTCAGAGAAACTCTGCTGTTTATAGGAAACAACTTGTGTTTTTGTTTTATTGGTTTGCATGTAATTCATTAAAATTGATTTTTATAATGAGATCGTTTTAAGAGCATTATGTATACGCGCAAACACATGCATTGTCGAAATACCTTATTCACAGGCATATTAGTCACATAATTATGATTAATTTATTGCACAACTGAAAAAAAAAGTCTGTTAATAAGAGGTTACTGAAATAAAGTGAGAGGTATTCAGCTGGCTGTGTAACTGAATAAGAGCTACTTGGGGGTGGGCAACCTTATGAAGTATAAAATAGCTTGTCTAATGCGAGAGCGTCATTTTAAACAGATTTATCAAGTACTGTTTTCTTTTTTGGGGAACAGCTTTTTAAAGGACACCTTTAAATTTGGTTCATTATCTAGAACACATTTTATGGAATGACTAATGTCCATTTGCTTTGACTGCTGAGGGTATAAATCAGAGCCAAGCGGCTGTATGTTTGATGGTGGAGTGTGAGTTATGTTCAGATGGCTTTGGGAATCTAACATTACTTTGATCTATAAGGTGCAGGCTTACTCATAGATCTGACTGCTATGATGGACTGATCTAGTCACTGATTGATTGAGCAGAAATGGTCGACTGTTAGCGAAGCAGGAGGACAAACACCTGTTGACCCAGATGCTGCTGTTTAACAGGCCTCAAGAGCAACCGAACTCTTTCGAATGGATGAGTACCTGCAGAACAGTCCCCATGATCCAATTCACAAGACTTCAGTGAAAGCACAGCACACTACATGCACGGCTTTGAAATTCAGATGAGCTTTGTGGACTGACCGTCTGCTGGGATGTATGTGAATCTTTAGTGTTGTGCGGTCAGAGATTCAGAAAACAATTTTTAATTTGAACGATTCGTCCCAATGATTTGATTACTTAATAGTGTTTTGGGTCACACTTTAGTTTGGGGACCAATTCTCACTATTAACTAACTACGACTGAGTAAACTCCTAATTTACTGCTTATTAATAGTTAGTAAGGTAGTTGTTAAGTTTAGGTATGGGGTAGGGTTAAGCGATCTAAAATATGATCATGCAGAATAAGGCATTAATATGTGCTTTATAAGTGCTAATAAATAGACAATATACTGGTAATATGCATGCTAATAAGCAACTAGTTAGATAAATACAAATTTAAAGGTGCAAATCTATCTATCTATCTATCTATCTATCATCATAAAATAATCTCTGCAATCACATGCTGTCAATTTCACCAATGAAAGCTCAAAGCCACTTTGATCTACAGCTGAATGATGAGAAGAGTCTTCCTCTCTGAACAGATGCAAAAACCATTGAAAGATATACATCTAAACATATACATCTAAAATCCCTGACGGGTGACGGAGAGAGATCTCTCAGACCTGAGCATCACAGAGGGTCTGGATTTAAACTCAACATATGTTTGACACGGAAATGACTCCCACTGCCGGATCCCAGCTGCACATCTGAAATCAGCCGAATTAGGAGCAAAGAGGGAATTTCTCTGACCTATTTCCACTATCTGACCACATGGAAGCTGTTATAATGGAATCGCAGATATCAGGGATACAGTAGATGGCTTCCACAGAGAATCTGAAGAGATGGTGGGGAAGAGGATAAACATTACCATATAGTTCACTCAAAAATGTGGTCAGAATTACGCTGAATGAGCCAAGTATGTTGTTGTTTTCTTTCTTTCTTCCTTCCTTTTTTATTATTTCTGAGGACACAAAGAAGATCTTGGTTCAAAATGTCTAAGATGTTCTTTTCTATACAACAAAAATGTATTTAGTCATTGATTTTGTTTCATGGAAGAAAGTTGAATTTGGAATAACATTGTTGATTATTTTTTTGATGGCCGATGCCAGTATCTAGCAGGGTGGCCGATCTTATAAATCAGGGCTATTCAATTTGCGGCCCGCCATTCATCTTCATCCGGCCCGAGGGGAGAGTACACGCAAGGTCGCACATTACACCTTGAATTGTTTTTGCACTAATTAGTTTGTCCACAAGGTGGCAACACTGGCCTGGGCCGTTGTTTCACAACCGCAAAATAAAAGAATGAGAGACGCAACAACAACAATCGCAAATTAACATCAATGAATGGCAGCGCTTGCGTAAGGGGGTTATGACATATCCACAACTCTAGTTTAAAGGAGTATAAAGGCAGTGTTGTCCGTCATAACTTCTGTCGAGAAATAGCGCAGACACTGGACGAAGATGATTATCGAATGGAGTCTGAAAGACTGCGCGTTCGGCTGTAATCTGAGCCGCTTCAGACAGCGCGCCAGTAGCGCTTCAACGGACAAAAACAGAATTATGTCAAAATGCTGGGTTTTGGCTAGTGACCTCGTAAACACGGTCTTAAATGAGTTATAAAGTCCTAAATGACCATGAAGAGTTGGGAGAAATCGGATGTGTGTCAAGATACGCGTCATGTGCATCAGATTTTAAAGTGACAGCGCTGCTTTTAAAGTGAAATCTGATGAAGTCTCATTGATGTAAATCACAGAACAAAAGAAAAGAAATCACTCGACTGCTCTAGTCGCTGATTAAGTTTTGTAGCTTGAATAAAGATTAATTTATGCTTATACAATTTCTGGTTTATGTGAAGATTGTTTCAAGTTCACGTAAATTAAAAGTTAAAAATGATATTTTTCAGAACCTACTGAATGTTAAAAATAATGGCTTTCAATTATACTGTAACTTTGAATTGCTATAATTAATGACTAAAATTGAGGGGAAAATGCATTTAATAGAGACATCAGTAGCAGTATTGCATTGTTATCAAAAATACTGGCCATTGTTAATAATAGGCTACTTAGTAAAAAGATGCCATTAAACACATGCCCCTCAGAAAGAGATCGGGACAGCCACCCACCCCCTTGGCCCCCTTCAAAATTTCAGTTCAATAATCCGGCCCTCAAATAAAACTAATTGAATAGCCCTGTTATAAATGAGCACACTACTTAATTTAAAGATAGAAAAATCACATGCAAAAGAATTGCTGAAATTAAATTTATTTTAAATAATATTTTCTAAAATAAATATTTTTTATATACATATAAAAAAAAAATCACAAATAAATAAATAAAACGTGCACTCAGAAATCTGGCTTGTTTGTGCACATTGGAAATCATTTTTTTTTTTTTTTTCAAAAGACAAGTTAGTGCTAATCTTACATTCATGACATGAAGTTGTGTTTAATAATGCATTAGTCTGAACATTCAAACAGAGACAGTAAACTAATGAAGACGGGGAATGGAAGCTCTGTGCGCTCAGGTGCTGGCATTCTCACTGCTGTCAAAATAAAAGTCCTGCTTCCGACATATCAGCCAAACAGGGGAAAAAAAAATAAAAAAAATAAAATTAAAATAATAATAATATTGGCTGATGCCAATAATTAAAAAACACTAGACATGAGGCGAAAAAAAGTGATGTCATATTTTTCATACTAAGATGGAATGTTTCTTTAAAATACTACATTTTATTGAATGAATTGATTTTTTTAAATGTTTAAAGTGAAGAAACACGATGGGATTATTTCCGACACAATATAAACTTCCTCATACCATGTACAGTTACATATGATTTGTGTAGTTTAATTGCTATATTTCTATTCGACTGATTTAGCAATGTGCAATCCACTTTTAAGAAGCATAAAATAAAGACAATGTGCATTAATCTCTTTCTGTGTTTGTGTCTCACCTGCGCTACATAAGACAGGTCAGATATGAGGGAGAAGCTGTCCACCTCCCCGCGGCCGATGTACGTCTGGAGAAGGATGTTTATCTTGCCGTAGCCGTTCTCCACTCCTCCAGTCGCCGGCAGCTCGCAGAAATTACACAACAGCTTCTCCAGTTCCTCCAGCTCCTCGTCCCGAACCTGCGTGTGGTACACAAAAACCCATCAACACACTAGTGTTCAATTTGTTTTCCATGACTTTAACTAAATGAGGATGAGACGACACCAACATCATTAAACAGAAACGGTGACTATATCAACATGCTATATCGTAAAAAGAAAAAAAGGCAAGACGAAAATGTAGTTTAAAAAATACATACTCTCTACATGTAAAAATCTCTATCTATTTTCTCAAAAATATTCATCAAAAAAAAAAAAGAGAAAAATATAGAACTTCATATATGTTTTCATGCCTGGCGTTGCGAGATATCAAGAGTTTAAGTCTCCCTAACAAAGCTTTTCTCTTAAAAGGACACATTTTCTGCCCAGGGTTTTATTTGATCTCACGACCACTGGCACATGTTCTATCTAAACACTGAGGAAAAAGTGCAGATGATCTGAAAACACCGACTACATTTTACTTGTGTACAAGTTGGAATATAGTGATCTCCAATGATATTCTGCTCAAATGAAAGTATAATAAGCCAGTTTTCATTGACTAAATCTAGACTAAAGTCAACTAAAACTTGCCTACACAAAAAACAGTATAGGTTGGTTAAACAGACATTTGACACAGGACTGAGACTACACTAAAAAAAACAGCTGACAACGTTAACACTATAACACACCTCTAAAATACACACTTTATTTACCCGTCACTAAAAATGAAACTATGGTCATCTGTCATCTCACCTTGACCTGCTCAAATTCTTCAGCTTTTGAAACAATGCTCAGGATATCTGCTTCAGTCTTCTGCGCGTTGAAAAGCTCATTGAATGTCTGTAGAATGTAAAGAACCAATGTTAAAACACATTAAGCCTAGCAGTAAGAATCTTATCGGTTTTCGACTGGAATGTTAAAGTGTAAAGATTTTTGCAAAGTTTTCTTTGAGACCTAAATACTGCATGCAGCCAATGAATTGCAATCTACAAAACTATACAGTATTGTATGTAGCATCTCTCACCTCAATGGTGTTGTACTTTATGTAGAAGTGACTGGCTGTCCTGCCAAGGTCTGTGGATGCAAAATAACCAGTTCTCTCATCAAAACGGATCATCCGTGCCTTATCCAGCTTCCTGCCGGACTCCACGACTAATTCCTTCCTGTAGAGCTCCAACTGCGGATCCATCTAAATAACAGCACAACATTAACTATTATCAAAATGCTTCACAATTACTCATTTGTCATAATAAACTATAACAAGAAAGGAATTTGCAATAAAAATATGAATAGAAACTGAAAAGCATCGGAATAGTGACAGTCTGGCGACACTGCTGTGAGATTTGATTATTGAGAATATTAACAACAGATAATGAGAGCATGAGCACCTGATAGGCCTTGTGACTGATCCCGTAAGCGAGTGGATTGGCTGTCATTCGCACGTACAGGTACGTGTAACTCAGCCACTGGACGGCTTCATCGACATTAGTGACTGTCCCTAGAGCGATCTGCACAAAACAAGCAGGCATTATATATCACAGCACTCACATTAAACCAAATCCAAGTTTTTTCTAGAGGTGGGGTTTATGTTTGATATTGCTATTCATGTAATTGAGATCTTGGACGCTATATGATAACTGATATGACATGCATAAACACAGAAATCCATGTTGAAAGGATTTTAATCTAGCCTTCAGCTGATGGCTAATGTCACTGCGCCATCTATTGGACAAAGTGATCATGAGTTTCTATTGAAAAGGCCTTGTAGATGCTGCCATCATGTGGCGGAGTGAAGAACAGCCCATTTCATTAATGAGTTAATTAAGTTATTTTTTGATGAGTTTATTAAGCTCATTTAAGTTTATTAATACAAAGATCAAATCTAGCAGTCATTTTTTTAACAAAAATAAAATTAAAGTTTGCCAACAAGCAAAAACTAAAGTGAAACTACGTTTAATACAAAGAGAAACCGCCTAACTGTAAGTTTAGTGTTAGAACAATTTGTGGTTCTACTGTAACTGATGAAAAGCAAATGAAAACAATTAGTAAATTTGTTTGACAAAATGAGCTTTTGTCATTTTTATTAGTTTTAATGGATTTTTTATTAGGTAATATTTGTGCTTCGACATAAATGTATTTATCTAATGACAACAATTCTAATTTTCATTTAGTTTAAGTTTTGCATCTAATATTTGTTTTTTATTTTATTTCAGCTTTATTGTTTATTATAGATTTTATTTTTATGTTTCTGTTTTTCTGTTTTCACTTCAATTTTGGTTAAAGTTTTAATAATTTTGTTATGCTTTTGTCATTTTTATTAGTTTTAGTGGGTTTTTTATTAGGTAATATTTGTGCTTCAACTAAAATGTATTTATTTACCATGACAACAATTCTAATTTTCATTTAGTTTAAGTTTTGCATCTACTATTTGCATTGTATTTTATTTCAGCTTTATTGTTTATTATAGATTTTATTTTGATGTTTCTGTTTTTACTTCAATTTTGGTTAAAGTTTTAATAATTTTGTTATGCTTTTGCCATTTTTATTTGTTATAATAAGTTTATATAGCAAGTTTTATTTAACAGTTCTAGTTTATTTAGTTTACTATAGTACTTCAGCTTAAACTAAATGAAAATGAGAAATGTTGCTTTGGTAACTAGCCAAACTAAAATACGTTCTTTTTTTTTTTATGGTTTTAGTAAACAATAATAACTGTCTTCTACAACTGCTTTGACACATAGAAGCATATGCTAGGTATAATGGGATTCCAACTAATATGATTTATTGCAAAATCTTGATGGGTAGTGTACTGAATTTATATAGTAAATGTAATTGAAAATGATAAGACTGAAACAGCAGATTTATGCCACAGGTCATTATAGACCTGGCACAGTATGTACAGTATCACAATAGAGCTGTGTGTGGGGTTGTACCTCAGCGTTGAGGTTGTCGGCGAGACTCTGTTGGAACTGGCTCTCGATGGGGTTCTGCTGAGTCAGGAGCGTCAGGTAATGGCTCAGCTTGTCATGGGTCGTGATGATGGTTCCTTCTCCGTACTTATCAAACTGTGGCCGTCCAGCCCGACCGAAAATCTGCATCACGTCCAGGATGCCCAGATCCACTAATGCACCACGCTTGGCATCATATATATTAGTGCCCTGATTGCAGAGAAACAGGAACCATTTAAAGCCCACCCTGAAGATTCCAGCATTACGTTTAACAAAGCAGAGTTTCATACACACACACACACAAGCCTGCAGCGACGAGCTCTGACCTTAATGATGACCGCATGAGCGGGTAAGTTAACACCCCAGGCCAGCGTGGCAGTGCACACCAGAACCTTCAAGTATCCTCTGGAAAACATGTTCTCCATGAGCGTGCGGTCCTGCCGTAACATCCCGGCGTGATGGATGCCAAAGCTGTCTGGAAACATCTCCCTCACCTGCTTGTTTCTGGAGCGCTGCACCTGTGGCACACACATCATCACACACACCGGTCTGGAATGAGTAGGTCTCCTAATACTCTAATGACTGCTAGTTGACATGTAGTCGCAATATAGTAACTTATAGTTGACAAAATGTCTAAAGTGGACTATCAAAACAAAGTGTTACTCTCTTCAGTTTCTCACCAGAAGTAGTAAATCATCCGGGTACTTATGAATACTGTGAATTCAGACATCTGGGCTCACTGTTTTATGCCTACTGTGTAGTAGGGAAGCGATTTCAGATGCAGCCAGTGGCATGAGGGAGAGGCGGGACTTCCTGTTTTCTCCACCATGTCAGACAGTGGGAGTGTTTTTTGCAATTCCATTTGGCAGAAATGACAAACCGCTTTAAAACTAAAACCCATGCGTAAAATAAAAGCATGCAGAAAGATTTGGATCTCTCTAGTAGTGGCCGAGCTCGTAGCGCTGTGATTGAGATGTGCGTGGTGTTGACTGCCGATGAGGGTCGTGACCAGTAACGTCCTCACCATCAGACGCTTTGATCTCACTCTGCCTGAGTCTAAATGGAGGTCAACAGCAACAAGGCCTCAGTGCTGCTGAGAACAGCCCATTACAGACACGTCTGTCCCTCTCCAACCCACACAGAATACCAACTACACCAAAATCTGCCTTACTGCGGTCTCTCCTCAATGCAAACACTGTGCTCTACCGTGGTACAGTGATGGTATCACATGAGAATACCACGGTGCTTGGATATATGGTGCTGAATGATTACCATATTCATTCACCACAATATTTAGACTGTACCCAAAGTGTGTCGAAAAAACATGGTAGTAGGATAATTTTATTAATAATTTAGTTTCATTTACCTTATCAATAAAACTATGGACTAGACATGCACCGATACCACTTTTTCCAGTACTCGCCCAATACCGATACTTTTATTTTTGGTAGTTGCCGATACAGAGTACCGATACCGATATTTTTATTGCATTTGTATATTTTTAACATATTGGGTACAGAAACCAAAAGAGTATGTATAATGTTATTTGGTTAACTTAATTTATCAAATAGATACAGTCAAACCAGAATTTATTCAGACACCTTCAACATTTCTCACATTATCACAGTTTATTCGCTAAAGTTTAGAAAATGTAATAAGATATGACAAGAACTCAGAGTTAAACTGTGTCAGAACAAATTCAGCTTGATAATGTCAGATAACTTCAATAGAAATGTATGTAATGGATTACAATCAACCAAAAATTATCTATCGATACTTAGTCGGGCAACCCTTAGCCTTAATGACAGCCTGTAGTCTCCTGGGCATGCTGTCATCCAGGTTCATGCAAACCTGAAACCAATTTTTTTCCCAGACTCGGTCTGAATAATTTTTGGTCCCAAATTTGTATCAGTTTTACTGGTAGTCCACTGTATGAAGAATTTTTGGGTATAATATATCACAG